AACTGGGCGGCTGCCTGGGGCCTGGACAGAAAGGGAGACTGAAAAATTGTTTGGGTTTTTCTCGCCATTGTCCAATTTTTATTACTATCATGATCTCTGGCAAAGTGGGGTCTGATTTACTAGAAGTTCACCCAGGGCTGTCAGGAGCCTAGGTATGGTGCTACTCCCAGTCGGTGTTCAGTAGCATCACTTTTCTTAAATGAAGGAGTCCTGGGTATACACTCTGCAGAAGGAACTGCTTGATTTCATCCTCTTGCTCCTACAGGAATGAGTATTTCTGCAGTATTGACAGCCCTGTGAAACCACAGCACAACTTGGCATCCAGGGGCATCATCCTGCTTGTATTGCTGATGGTCATGATCGCAGCACTTAGTCCCAGATCATTCAGTGCAGCACAGTTTCAAATTGATGCCGAGAGGAATTGGGAGGGTTTGTCACCTGAGCCACAAGTCCCAGAATACCTGTAGTTTTTTGGGTTGTATCCCAGAACACACAGCGTGGAAATTCAAGAGTGGAACAGTGGGTCATTGGATGCCTGCCCACACTGCTGAGCAGTGAGAGCAAGCAAAGCTGCATGAATTCAGTGAGTAAATAGAAAAATGGCATCATAAAGTCGGGAGGGTACTTTTGCTACAGTGAAATGGCTGCTTTTCAAGTGAATGAACCAAAGCTGCTTCATCACCAGGGATCCTTGTTTTCTACATACCTTTATATGTATTTCATTTTAATTGCAGAAAAACATGGATTTGGGGTTTTTTTAATTGGAGGATTTGGGATATATATGCATTTCCTACCCATATATAGCCAGTTGAACACAATGTTTTCATTGATATATTTACAATTTTAAAGTTGTTTTGGAAGCCTACCAATGTTTCAATCATTTATAATGAAATGCATTCTAAATACCTAAGTGCTTTGGCATTTTGATTCTGTCTTTTTTTTTTGGCTTTACTTTTCTTTAATATGGAAAATTGGAGCTCCTCTCCCCCCTTTCACTCACCAGGATACAGTTCCAGCAGTGGCTGGTGTTTTCTCCCCCTGGTGCTCTAGTGCTGAGCAACCCTGATATGCCAGGGGTCCCAGTGGTGGTGGTGCCAGCAAAAAAAGTCTTGCTGCCCCACTTCATCCTCCGATGCCAGGTCCCCCCCATTCCCTTCTGACATAGTGCCTATGGTGCCCAATCTCCTTCCTGGGAGTGCATGCAGCAGCAGGGAGTTGTACCCCCAGAGCCCTCAATGGGCTGCCTGTGGCTCTGTCCCACTCCTTGGCTGGACCTTGCAGCCATGCATACCACCCTGGCTGGGCAGAGGTCCCAGCTGCCAATCCTGCCCCACTCCCTCCCTCATCATGGGGGCTTGGAGTGAGCTGCCACCACTGCCTCAATATCATATCCCCCCCCCAAAGCCCAGAGTTACCTGCAGGCAGCTGTGGGAGCTGCTTTCAACCATGCTGCCTGGCTGCCACGTGGGTGCCCCCTGCCTGTGATTGTCTTTCTCCTGCTCCCAACCCCAAGCAGCCCTTTGCAGACTGGACCTCTGCCAACCTGCAAGGGGAAACCCACAGTTCCATGCATTTTTCTCCTTTTAAAAGAAAAAAAAGTGTGGGTTTTTTTTTTCCACAAATGGAAAACCTGCATCCCTGATCATCACTGTGTAGGTGAGACCTTTTTAAGCTCCAGAGGCAGGAATATAGGTTGCCACTTTTTCTCCACTTCTGCTGATTCCTCCAAGTCATGTCAACTAAATAATTCTTGATCTAGACTAATTCCCCACCCCACTCCTTCCTCCCCAGTTTTACATGAATGAAGACTTTTTGAATAAGGAGGATTAATGGGACATAACCTGTTTGTATTGCAAGAGTCCCCTTTACTGGGCAATTCAATCAGCGTTGGCTATGGAGTGTGTTCTTGATGCTGAGATGTTTCTATGAACATGCACAATCTGTAGCCACAGCCACCTGAGCCTCAAAAGAAATATTCTGTGACTCTTTCCTCCTGAAATAACTACTTTCTCCCATACCACCCGAGTACCCAGACTCTAGCAGGGTCATCCTGCTTTTTGGTGAAACTGAAAACTTGCTCTGCAAATGTATCAGCAAGAGCTTCAAATGATGAATGTTCTTTACAGTCAATTTGGTTCAGATTGGGCACTAACTATCTATTGCCAAAGACCTCTGAATTTGGTTGGCTTTCACTTTTCGTGACTGAGTGTAGGGCTTCTGTGTTGTGAAGGTATCTGGAGTAAGAGGATATAGAAGCTGCGTGACTCCCTTTTAGGGCTCTAGTAAAGTACAGCAAATATGTGACCGGAGGGATGCACCCTCTTGAGTTTAGGGAAGCAGTTGACATAGTTTCATAGTTGGTAGGGTTGGAAGGGACCTGAGCAGATCATTGAGTCTGAACCCCTGCCATGGCAGGGAAGAGTACTGGGGTCAAATGATCCCAGCTAGGTGATTATCTACCCTCCTTTTTTGAAGACTCCCAGGGTAGGAGCGAGCACCACTTCCCTTGGAAGTTGGTTCCAGATCCTAGCCGCCCTGACAGTGAAGTAGTGTCTCCTGACACCTACCCTGAACCTACTCTCAATCAACTTGTGGCTGTTATTCCTAGTTACTCCTGGTAGTGCTCGGGTGTCTTTCTCCATATGTCAAAAGTGGGTTGGGGTGATGGAAGGGGGGTGCTGCTGCCCACATAGTGGCAGTAGGGCTTAAAATGAGAAGTTAAGGGGCAAAGAGGTCTTTGCATCTGCCTTTGTGCCCAGATGCTAGGCCACCTGGGTTGTGTAGCAGTTTTGGGTCTTGCTGTGGTAACTGTTTTTTTTTTTTTTATTAGGTATTTCTTTTTAACAGTACAACTAGTCAGATATTATGGAATGACTTAAAAACTGAGACGTCTTTTCTTATGCCCACAGCGTCCTTCTGCAACTAACTTTTTTACCATGCCAATTATTTTGAATTTTGCTGTAAATGATGAGGAGAAATGAATTTGCTCAAGGGTTTTCAAGTTAAGGCAGAAAAGGTTGCACTGAAGTCTGTGCTCTTAAAATTGTGGCATTTCACTTTTTCCTCAAAGTTTCTAAATGGGGCACTTGGGACGTAAGTGGGTGTTTTTGTTGCATAGACAAGTCCTTAACAGGCCTGTTAAGAGCACTGTTTCTTAACCATTCTGAATCAGCTGGGTGAAATCCTAGTAATGCAGGGCAAGTTGGGTGCTGGGGCTCATGACTGCCCAGTGCAGAGTTCTATCTGTCTGTCCGTCCTCAGGAGCAACTGTGAGTTGGGAGGATTTTCAGTTAGGCCAGGTGGAAGTGGAGCAAAGAAACAGGTGTGGGAGGGTGGAGGGGATGGGGTTGGCAGTCTCTAGCCTGCATAGGTCCAGTCTCCCATGGGGAGCACAGAACTGCTCCATGCCACCCATGCCTCCCACAGCTTGCAGCTCACAGCGGGGGCTGGGTCACAAAGGGTGGCTTAAACCAAGCAGAGGTTGGCATAATAGCTAGGTTGTAGTCTGGGTTTGGAATGGACCTGGGAACCTAAAAGCAAACAATAGTTCTAACTTGACTGCCAAGGCAGTAGACCAGCTAGTAATGTAAAGCTTTACTTTTAGGAGCCCAGATGGTGGTTTTTTTTTTTTTTTTTTCTTTTTCTTCCTTTACTGAACACTATTGTGGCTTTACAGTGCTGGACAGTAATTGGCAAATTGGTCTTTACTTTCCATGTCCAGAAAATGCATGCAATCCTGCTGACTTCAAAACTCAAAAAAATGTTCAGAGGGCATTGTGGTGCTGGACACACTGGGCTAAGTGTAGTACTTGGCACCACCTCCCAGAACTTGCGGTGTGGCAACATGCTGACCAAATCTGCATTTAAGTTACCCC